AAAGCAAATTTTTCTTATGGAGGGTTTATCCTTAGGGACTTTTCCCAAGAGAGTCCCTTAACTTGTCTTTGTGGTTCTCAAAGCATAGTCCCAGGCCAGGTGTAGCAAGCATCACCCAAGATCCATTTAGAAATGAAGATTTGTGGGCCCAAGAACCTGGTGGTTCTGACATATGCAGAAGTGTAAAAACCACTGGCCGGGTTAAAGGAAGTAGCGCTCCAGATTCTGCTGTGCATTTACCTCTGTCAGGAATCCTTATGGTAGTATAATTCTGAACCAGTTTCTCTATTCTTTTTTTTTTTTTTTTAACATTTTATTTATTTATTTGACAGAGAGAGAGAGAGATCACAAGTAGGCAGAGAGGCAGGCGGGGGGTGGGGAAGCAGGCTCCCCGCTGAGCAGAGAGCCTGATGTGGGGCTCCATCCCAGGACCCTGAGATCACTACCCGAGTCGAAGGCAGAGGCCCAACTCACTGAGCCACCGCTTAGAAGTTCATAGGCAATATGGGTAACGAAAAAATTGAACACTAAACTTGGTGTGAACAGCTAATCTGTGGTTTGAATTCTCAGGGGAGAAATCTCTTCTCCAGCTCCCAGTCCAAACAGAGTAGATATGTTTTCTTATTCTCCATACCAGTGAGCTTTTTCTAGTCTTCCCTTTTTATTTATTTTTAATTTTAAGTAGACGCCATGTTTATCATGGAGCTCAAACTCACAACCTTGAGATCAAGAGTCCCATGTTCTACCGACTGAGTCAGCCATGGGCCTATCTAGTCTTCCCTTTTATTGCAAATATAGTATTTGGAAATTTTGGCCCTATGTAAGGCTCTGAGTGAGTGATAAGGACGTATCTTCTGTGTCCTGCCCCAAGATAAAACAAAACAAAACAATCCTGGCTTTCAGTTTTCCTCTTTGTTTTTGGTCCTTGGTAATTTTTCCTTTTTTTCTGAGTTCATCATTGCATTTAAAACCTATTTTGGGGGGGGCGCCTGGGTGGCTCAGTCATTAAGCATCTGACTTTGGCTCAGGTCATGATCCCATCGTGCTGGGATCTAGCCCCGCATTGGGCTTCCTGCTCTGCGGGAAGTCTGCTTTCCGTCTGCTAGTCTCCCTGCTTGTGTTCCCTCTCTTGCTGTGTGTCTCTCTCTCTCAAATAAATAAATAAAATCTTTAAAACCTACTTTTGTTGTATTTAAGCCATTATTTCTGGATGTTATTTTGTTATGATTTTCATATTTGGTCCATGATTTTGTCAAAACAGAAGTCTTTATTTACTAAAGTTTAGAATACTTACTACCCCCCCCCCTCCCATAACTACAATGGTGATCTTGCATGCCTTGTCTAGGTTGATTATAAAATTGAAAACCAGTAAACATTCTTCATAGTGTTAGGAATAACTCTATGGTCATTGCAGAACCTAGTAGCATGTTGGCCTGTGGAGGAGACCTAATTACATTTTATACCTGTTCTACTCAAAGAATGCACTAGATGACAGAATGATACAGATTTGTTCTCATCTTTGTTTTTTCTAGACTCTGATTACCTTTTATACTTCCTGCAACAGAAAAGCCATGTGCTTAAGTTCTTGGGGCGCCTGAATTAAGCTGCTGCTTCCTGTTCAGGTCATGTTTCTGGAGTCCCAGAAGGAAGGCCCCCCCCCCCCCCAAGGCTCCCTGTTTGGTCTTTTTGGTGAGGTGTGTGCTGCTCCCTCTGCCCCTCACCCTGTTCTCGTGCTCTCTCTCAAATAAATAAATACAATATATTTTTCATTTCTTAAAGACTTTATCTATTTAATTGACAGAGAGGTAGAGACAGACGGCATGAGTAGGAACACAAGCAGTGGAGGTGGATGATGGAGAAGCAGGTTTCCTGCCAAGCAGGCAGCCCAATGCGGAGCTGCATCCCAGGACTCTGGGATCATGACCTGAGTCGAAGGAAGATGCTTAACCAACTGAGCCACCCCAGGCATCCCTTTCCTCAAGCATTTTTAGCATCTTTTTTTTGCTGAGTGAAGTCCCATACTAATGTAATTCTTGTTTTCTTTGTAGGTTATTCCCTCTTTTCTGGAAACAGGATATTTTTGGAGTTCCATAGAGTACTAAAATTGAGGAGGAATGTGTTGAAATCATGTTGTATATAGTAAACTTACTATTATTTCCCTGTCTTTTTTTTCCCCCCCCTGTCTTTAAATACCCATTTTGGTTTTGTTACTTTGAGTAAAAAAGGAAGACTTACTACCCTAGTACTAAGGAATAGCTCATTTCCCACTCTTTGTCTCTCCTTACTCCCTAATGTGAACCTATCACAGCACAAAAAGAAGAGATGGGAAACTTTCCTAGTCACCTTTGCTTATCTCCTTAAAAACAATGCATTTGTTGTAAAATAAGAAGAGGTTAATTAACATCACTGAAAATATGTAAAGATTGATGGCCCAAGTGCTTCTTCAGGTCATTTTTGTGGGTCTGTACCACTTCCCTCCTTTTGGGGCAGTTAATTTTTAAAATCCAGAGTTCCATATCTTAGCTTGATTTAAGCTTTGGAGTAGAGGATATATATGAAGGCTAATGATCAGATTGGTTGCTAGCATTTGGTAGTTTAAAAAATCAGATTTGTTTTACCAACTGGAGATCACTTATTTCTAGTGCTTGTGTGTATGTAGGAGTTTGCCAGGTCTTGATCAGTCGGCTTTTTAAAATCAAAATACCTGTGTTTCATTGCTTATTTTTTAAGTTTTAGGATTATTAGAGCATAACTGATTTTTTTTCCCTAAAATCAAAGGGCAAAAAGCATTAAATTTTTTTTTATTTTTTAAAAGATTTTATTTATTTATTTGACACACAGAGAGAGATCACAAGTAGGCAGAGAGGCAGGCAGAGACAGAGGGGGAAGCAGGCTCCATGCTGAGCAGAGAGCCCAATGAGGGACTCAATCCCAGGACCCTGGGATCATGACCTGAGCCTAAGGCAGAGGCTTAACCCACTGAGCCACCCAGGTGCCCAAAAACAAGCATATTTAAAAAAATTTATTTTTTAATTTATTTATTTGATAGAGCATAAGTAGGCAGAGCAGCAGGGAGAGGGAGAACCAGGTTTTCCGATGAGCAGGGAATCCGGGGCTCGATTCCAGGATCCTGGGATCATGACCTGAGCGGCAGGCAGCCACTTAACTGACTCAGCCACCCAGGTGCCCCTAAAAACAAGCATATTTTTAATAGCACCATTAAATCTATGGAGAAAATAAGGTATATCTTTGTAGTTCTGAAAACTATTTTTTTTTGTTTTAATTAAAATGACAAATTTGAAATAAAATCTTAAATACAGAGGGAAGATGACATTTTTGGAATACCTCTGCAAAATAACTTGGAAAGATCAGAAGTAACCATTTAACAGTTTGCTTTATTCCTATCAGTTTAACCAGTTTTGTTTTATATGCTTATCTCTTAAAAATTTAATGTTGTAGTATTAGCCCTATATACTCTTTTGCTAATGTTTTGATTTTTTTGTGCTGGCAACAGGTGCCAATTATTTTGCAACCAAATTAGAACTTGAAGGAGTAGATTTGAGATAAGAGAGGTTCTCTTAGGAAACACATAGCCCTCACCAGACATTTGGTTAATTTGTAGTTTTGACAGTTTTTATGAGACTGGATTGGAAAATTGACTTGTGTGGGGAATCCTAGAGAGTTGTAATTCAACTAAGATCCATACCAGTTTTATAGCTAATAAACAATGCTGTGACCCTTGAAAACTCAACATGAAACAAGTACAGGTTTTGAATTATCTACCACTGTTTATCTGGAACTCCATGTCTTCCCCAAATGTTGTAATGTTCTAGTTAAGAACTGATGATTTAGATAAAGGGACGACTGGGTGGTTCAGTGGGTTAAGCTTCCAGCTCGGTTTCAGTTCAGATCATGCCTTGTAGTCACAAGATCCAGCCCCATGTCGTGCTCTGGATCAGTTCAGACGCTACTTCAGATTCTCTTTTCCTTTCTCTCCTGCTCATTTCTCTCTCAGATAAATAAATAAGATCTTTAAAAAAAAAAAAACAAAAACTGATGTTCTAGATTAGTTGACGGTTTCTTTCTTTTTTTTTAAAGATTTTATTCATTTATTTGACAGATCACAAGTGGGCAGAGAGGCAGGCAGAGAGAGAGAGGGAGAAGCAGGCTCTCCACTGAGCAGGGAGTCCAGTGTGGGGTTCCATCCCAGGACCCTGAGATCATGACCTGAGCCAAAGGCAGAGGCTTAACCAACTGAGCCACCCAGGCACCCCTGGTTTCTTTGTTTTATGTAAATGTTGTTTTATCTCTATAACCCTTGTTAAAGAAAATTAATGGCCTTAACAATAGGAATAAAAAAGCAGAAGAGTGTTATTTAGAATCAAATCAAGGGCCTACTTGAATTATACCCCCTCCTCATTGATGTCTTAGATGAGAATTGACCCTTAAAAGAGTAGCTTAACTGATGGGGAGCATAGTGGAATTGCTCAGTTGCGTTGGGGTTTTAAAGAAATGGTCAGGGAGTGCCTGGGTTGCTCATTTGGTTAAGCTTCTGACTCTTGATTTTGGCTCAGGTTGTGGAATCAAGCTGGTGTTGGGCTCACACTGGTGGGGAGTCTGCCTGAGGTTCTCTCTCTCCCTCTTCACTGCCGCCTACACCCCAGTACCAATGCTCTCTCTAGAATGAATAAATAAATGTTTAAAAAAAAAAAAAAAAGGTCAAGTTCCATACAGTTGCTTATCACCTTATTGTATATCTTATATGTTGATGAGTTTTATGATGATTTTTAAGAAACAAATTTTACTTTTCATTTGATAGTTACTTTGTATCTCCCTTCCCTTACCTAGAATCTTTGTTCTTTAAAGATACTTAATTTGGGTTGACAACATATTTTCCCTCTCCGTTACTCTCTGAGGTAAATATATTTAAACACCTATGCACATACAGTAATGCAAAATACTTAAAAGGTTTCATTAAGTTGATTTTGTTGCATTGGCAGAGTGAAGATAGTCCGAGTCCCAAGAGACAGCGCCTCTCTCATTCAGTCTTTGATTATACATCAGCATCACCAGCTCCCTCACCACCAATGCGACCATGGGAGATGACATCAAATAGGCAGCCCCCTTCAGTTCGATCAAGCCAACATCACTTCTCAGGGGAACGATGCAACACACCTGCACGCAACAGAAGAAGGTTAGTTGATGACAATGTATTTCTTAAATTTTCTTCCATTGGTAGATTTATGAGATTTTTTTTTTTGTAATGTCAGAAAGCATTTTTTTTCTACGGGCATTTTATAAACACATCAACACATATGTACTCCTACACTCACACATGAAAAACATGACACATTGTTTAGACTCCCACACTAGAGCATCAGAGTTCATTTAGCTTGTGGTTGATAGGTGAAGAAATTGAAAGAGGCTAAGGTGATTTATCTAAAATGAATCCATACTATTATATATGAATTCATCTACTTTATGGTTTAAGGCTTTGTGTGGGCTAGCCTGCAATTCTGATTACAGAAAAATACATTTTATAGTTCCAAACTATAAGGAAATATGGAGACTCTAGAAATGAGCTACCTCTTTTTCACTTCATACCTATTTCTTTATCTTTAAGGCAGTTGGGAGCTTAATTAGGTTTCTTATAAAACTGTAGAGCCTGTGGTATGAAAGACTGACTGAGGTTTTACTACAGTGCTCAGTCCTCTCTGTCATAGTACTTGTCCCCTGGCTTTCCTTAGAGCAGTGTATTTCTTCTGAACTTCTTCCTCTTCAGTTGTGGCCTGAGCTCATAACATTCCTTCTTCAGAGAATTGTGTATCCTTGGAGTGAGACAGGTGTTTGCATGTCCAGGATGTCGATAATCTAAGAAACATTGAAACTCTTGAGTTAGGAAGGTGTTAAGGACTGAAAGTTTGTGTCTCTTCAAAATTCATATGTTGAAGCCCTAATTCCCAGTGTGGCTATATTTGCAGATGGAGTCTCTAAGGAAGTAATTAAGGTTGAATGAAATCATAAGGGTAGGACCCCCAATCCAATAGGATTGGTGTCCTTATTAGAAGAGACACCAGAGAGCTCACTCACTCTGGCATGCAAGGACACAGTGAAAAGGTGTTCATCTGCAAACCAGAAAGAGAGCTCTCACCAGAAACCCATCATGCTGACACCTTGATCTTGGATTTTTACTCTCCAGAGCTGTAAGAAAATTAATTTTTGTTGTTTAAGTCACCTGGTGTGTGGTGTTTTGTTATGGCGGCCCTGGGAAACTAATACTGAAGGATCTTAAAACCACCATTCTTGGGATGACTGGGTGGCTCAGTTGGGTAAGCATTTGCCTTCAGCTCAGGTCACCATCCAGCTTCCTGGGATCAAGTCTGGAATTTGGCTTCTTGCTCATCAGGGAGCCTGCTTCTCCCTCTTCCTCTGTGTGCATTTTCTCTCTCTGACAAACAAAACGTTAAAAACAAAATAAAACAAGGAAAACACCATTCTCTGTTCCAGATGAGACAAAATAAACCTGTTTCTGAGTTATATTCTGTTGACACACTAAAGCTTTTTGATTACTTGGTGCATTTCCCCCCAATTTTATTTAAGTTAAAATAATGTATGTCAACCCAGGTAAAATATTTTATAGCTGTTAAACACAATAGTATGAGACAATATGGTTGTTTTTTTCAAGCTTACAGTCTGAGCACCTATTGTACTCTTTTCTATTGTTTTATGATGAAATGTGTCATACAGTCAGAAGAACATGTAAACCAAGCATACACTTAAAAGGATAACACACGAGTGTACCAACACTCAGATTAAAATAGAACATTGTTAATAATTCAGAAGCCCCTGTTCATCCTTCCTAGAGGATAAACCCTGTTCTGTGATTGACATCATTCCATTTTTAATATTTTTTAATACCTAGGAATGTATTTTAAAACAACATGATTTTAGGTTTTGCTGGCTTTACTTTCATTTAAATGTATTCTTCTTTGACTTTATCAAGTATTCTATTTTAAGATTTCATTTATTAATTTGACAGAGATCATAAGTAGGCAGAGCAGCAGGCAGAGAGAGAGAGAGAGAGAGAAGCAGGTTCTCCATTGAGCAGAGAGCCTGATGCGGGGCTCGATTGCAGGACCCTGAGATCATGACCTGAGTTGAAGGCAGAGGCTTAACCAACTGAGCTACCCAGGCACCTCTCAAACATTCTATTTTTAATGTGGACAGCAGTAGTTCATTTATTTTTACTTGGTATAATCTTACATTATATTGATACCCCATTATTTATCCATCTATTGAATAATGGGTATGCTCAGTTTCTTAGTATTATATAGAGTATTATTAAGAACCTTTATTAAGGTTCTATTCTATTCTGTTATTAAGAACAGTTCTGGTATACACGTGGAAACATTTCACTAGCGTGTAAGCTTAGGAACACAATTGCTGGGTCATAGATAAGCTTTTGATCAGAAGGGGAATGTCAGAAGTGTCTATTTCCAGATGGTAGTAGTAACTAGTTATGGGTTGTTAAATTGAAGAGAAGCATCATGCTCTAAGCTCATGGAAACACAGAGTGGGGAGGACAGGAGGAAGCACTTACCTAGAAAAACTGACTTACAGGCTTATTCTGCTCAGCAGTGTGTGTTATTCCTTAACCTCATTCTCCATTAGGTACATTATTATAGGCTGGCTATAGGCTTAGCTGCCAGATTGCCTCCCAGAAGAAGGCTATGCAAGCAGATACAATATTCAGCAGCAGTCTAATAGAATTTAAGATACAAAGATGAGCGCACAAAGTGAAAGAAGGACACTAAACTCTAAAACAACTTTAACAGTTAATAGAACAGACAATTTTTGAGTAAGTATAACATGAGAGAGATGCAAGAGGATATTCATGAAAGTCAACTAGAAACCTGACTAAAGAAAAATTTAGAAATCAGGAAATGTGCAGAAAAGTTGTCCTAGTTTCTGGAAGATCAAGTGGAGAAATTTTCCCAGATACAGTGTAAAAGGCAAAATGAAAAGTGTGGATAAAAATGTTTAAATATAGAGACAGAGCCATCGGTTTTAAGTATGTCTAATATTTTCACACGGAGACAGTTGACCTTTTTTTTTTTCCTTTTAAGATTTTATTTATTTGACAGCACAAGCAAGGGGAGTGGCAAGCAGAGGGAAAGGGAGAAACAGGTTCCCCACAGAGCAGGGAAAGTCCGATGTGGGACTCGATCCCAGGACCCTGGGATCATGACCTGAGCTAAAGACAGTTGCTTAAGCAGGCACCTTGAAGGGACCTTTTTTTTTCTTTACATCTCAGAAAACATTCCTTCATTTTTTCACTCATTCATTTATTATTTTTATTAACATATAATGTATTATTTGCCCCAGGAGTACAGGCCTGTGAATCATCAGGCTTACACATTTCACAGCACTGATCCAGCACATACCCTCCCCAATGTCCGTAACCCAGCCACCCTATCTCAACCCCCCCGACCCCTCAGCAGCCCTGTTTGTTTTGTGAGATTAATAGTCTCATACGGTTTGTCTCCCTCCCGATCCCATCTTGTTTCGCTTTTTCCTTCCCTGCGCCCCACAACGCCTCACCCTGCCTCTTAAATTCCTCATATCAGAGAGATCATATGATAATTGTCTTTCTCCGATTGACTTATTTTGCTCTGTGTAATACCCTCTAGTTCCATCCATGTCATTGCAAATGGCAAGATTTCATTTCTTTTGATGGCTAGATAGTATTCCTGTGTGTGTGTGTTTGTGTGTGTGTGTGAGAGAGAGAGAGAGACATCTTCCTTAGCCATTCATCTGTTGATGGACCTGAGGGACCTTTTTAAGGAAATAATGCAAAACCATTTCTCAGAATTTAAGAAACACTGAGTGTTGAACAAGATTTTGGTGAACTTGCAGAACATACACCAAGAATAATAAAAATTCACAAATATTCCGAGACAGAAACTTTGAGTTCTGCCAGCTGATTTATCACTTAAGTATAAAGCCAAAATATAATTGCATTTCAAATATTAAGAAACCGAATTGACTGCAAGAAATCCTCCCTGAAAGAATTGTTAAAAATTGTACTCTCTTCCAGAAGTAGAAGAGTGAGTTCAAGAACTAGGATTTAAGACCATTGGTTAGCAAAGGAAATGAAAAAGACATACTATTAAGTCTGAGTAAAGGCCTGTTGTTTAAAAAAGAAAAAGAAATTCAGAAAAGATCTGCACATGAGTTGGGAATAGAGCAGAGAAGAGTTTACTTTCTGCCTATCAGGAATGCTGAGTAGATCTAGGTGTTGTTTTTTGAAAAGTGAAAGTATATATTTAAAAATTAAGGGTCATCACTAGGAGAATAGAAATAAGGAATGTATAGCTTCTGTAAAAAAAACAGATTAACAACACATATAGGAAACTCAGTCTAACAAAAGGCAGGTAAAAGGACAGAACAGTCTTGTGGCAAATGATACACCAAAAATAAAAGGAACAAAATATAGAGAGCCCAATGCGGGACTCGATCCCAGGACGCTGAGATCATGACCTGAGCTGAAGGCAGAGGCCTAACCCACTGAACCACCCAGGCGCCCCAAGTCTTTTATATATTTATTTTTAAGATTTAATTTTAAGTAACCTCTACAGCCAGCTCAGACTCATAACCTGAGATCAAGAGTTGCACGCTCCACTGACTGAGCTAGCCAGGCACCCCCATACAACAGTCCTTTAAAATATTTGTACAGATACAGGGGTGCCTGGGGGGCTGGGTCGGTTAAGCATCTGACTCCTGGTTTCGGGCTCAGGTCATGAACCTCAGGGTTGTGAGATAGAGCCCTGCATCAAACTCTGTGTCAGGCATGGAGCCTGCTTAAGATTATCTCCCTCTCCCTCTGCTCCTCCCCACCTCCCCTAAAAAAATTAAAGAGGAGATATGACAGCTGTATGCAATAATGAGATCCTGTATTGGATTTTCAGCAGTGAGGGGGCATAGTTGGAAAAACTAGTGAAATCTGAAATATGCTCTGTTTAATTAATAGTACAATACCAAGGTTTATTAATTTTAGTAATTTTTCCATGGTTATGGAAGATACTAGGATAAAGGAAAGCTGGGCAAAGGATATGCAAAAAACTATACTAAAATTATCTCAAAACATTTAAAAAAGTGAGTACTAGGGTGGATGACATCATAAATTCAGTGAAATACAGTATGTAGATTTTGAAGTAAAGATAAGTACATTTTGCAAAAAGAAATATTGAAGTTATTGGAGGCAGTTAATGAAACAAGAACCTGGGGTGTTTATCAGGAGCACTATTGAAGAGTTAATGTCAAAGAGGAATGTTGTTGTTCTCTTTAAGACTGGGGAGTTGGGAATGAGAAGAAGCAGATTTAGAGGTAGAGAGGTGACCTGATGTGTGCAGCTGTGTCTGGAATGGGACTCTTTGGCCTCTTTTGCCCAGTGTAGAGTACATTTTGTTTGTTTGTTTATTTAAAAGTTTTTATTTATTTGAGAGAGAATGAGAGAGAATGCGAGGGGCAGGGGGCAGAGGGAGAAGCAGACTCCCTGCTGAGCAGGGAGGAACCTTATGCCAGGATCATGACCTGAGCTGAAGGCGGTTGGTTAAGCAGCCGCCTTTGGCTCAGGTCATGATCCTGGTGTCCCAGGTGCCCCTTTGTTTGTTTATTTTAAAGATTTTATTTGAGAGAAAGAGCTTGAGAGGGCACAAGCAGTGGAGAGGGAGAAACAGCCTGCCCATCTCGCAGGGACCTGATGCTCGGGGGGTCATGACCAGAGCTGAAGGCAGCCACTTAACCCACTGAGCCATCCAGGTGTCCCTGTAGAGTACATTTGAATGAGGCTGCTTTTTTGAATTGCACTAGTGCTGAGCCATTATAAAAAGCAGTGGAGATGAATTGTGGAATTGTAGAGAATGGAAATCTACTCACAATAACAACTTGACAAAATTTGTGTTAAACTACATAGATGACTAAGGTGTAGGGGGAGTAAAAGTGGTTTCCTTCATAACCAGTCTTTTAAAATTCTGTATATTATAGGAATATTTATGCTGACGATATCTCAATGATTTCCATTTCTAGCATTTACTGAGTTACTATTATATTTGCAGTTGTAAACAAATGTTCTTCAGTTATGTCTTTTCTACTTGATATTGAAAAAGTCTCATTTTGAGTATGTAGGAACTCTTTCACCTCGATTTTTTTTTAAACTGAAGTATAATTGACACAATGTTTCAGATGTACAGCATAATGATTTGACAGATATGTTACACTATGCTCATCATAAGTGTAGCTACCATCTATCACCATATAATATTATTACACTGCCATTGACTATATTCCCTATGCTGTACCTTTCATCCCATGACTTATTCATTCTGTAACTAGAAGCCTATACCTCTCATGCCCCCTTCACTTATTTTGCTCTCCCTATCTCGCTTCCCTCTGGCAACTACCAATTTGAGGAACTATGTATTTCTGTATATCTTATATATCTTAGCTAGATAGACTAAACATGAAGTGGCCATTAGACATACATGGAATATTGGTAAGATATACACTTAAAATTTATATGTTTATAACATAAAGAGAGCAAAATAATGGGTTAAGCCATGTGAAATTGCTGATATTCGACTACTTTTGCCTTTACAGAAGGCAGTTTCATATAATTAAACAAACAAAAAAAAGGACCAGTAGTGGGCTATTGATTTCTAATATATTTGCAGAGCTGAATACTAATTTTGTAATTTTTTTTTTAAAAAGTTGTTTAAATTTGGTTTTAGAGCTGATGGGGAACCAGAGCAATTATTTAATACTCAGGCTTTTGCCTTAGCATAAACTGATGTATTGCAAAGAGAGACAACACAGAATCTTTATGGATCACAACAGTAAATATTAATAATGACTTTCTTGACATTTGATATATTATAGTCCTCCTGTCAGGCGCCAGAGAGGAAGAAGGGATCGTCTGTCTCGACATAATTCCATTAGTCAAGATGAAAACTATCACCATCTCCCTTATGCACAGCAGCAAGCAATAGAGGAACCTCGAGCCTTCCACCCTCCGAATGTATCTCCCCGTCTGTTACACCCTGCTGCTCATCCACCCCAGCAAAATGCAGTAATGGTTGACATACATGATCAGGTATAGTAACAGAATGTCCAGAAAATACAGATGCTAAAGATTGGTGGCAGTTTGTTGAGGTGGTTTTTCATTGTAAATTTCTTTTAATTTTACCTAAAAGGAAGCAATTTTTCCTAAACTGAAGCTGTTTTAGGTAAGTTCATTCTTTTTAAATTCTACATAGCTTGAAAGAAAGTTGAACTTTAGAAAATTAGGAGCAAGGTCATGAAAGCTCAGAATGGTTTCATGTATTGGTTGGAAATCACTGATAACAAGATTAATAGGAGAAAACAGAAAGTTGGTGGTTTGAATACACATTTCTGTTTCCCTCTCCCTTCCTGTTCTGGATAATTCAGTAGGCACGACAGTTGAGTACATCTTTGTTGGTAGGTATCCATGGGTCTCCAAAGGGATGACAGGTAGATGGCTTATTCCCTTTGTTCCTGCCAGGAGCTGAGGGACTATTTGAGAAGAGGGCTTGTCAGACAGAGCCTGAGAATCAAGACCAGAATTGTTTGGATTTCTTATGGAGTTTCTGAAGTCAGCAGTAAAGTTGCTGAATTTTAAGGATAAGGAAAAATTCGTCTTTCAAGTTTGTAGATAGAAAAGGAAGGAAACTCGAACTGGCATTCATTTTTTTCATCTGCAGTAGATGATAGGAAACAATGAAAACACTGTATATTGACAATTGAAAGAAAATATGATTTCTACCAGGCACCATCTTCTGTCAGACATGTTCTATCCTAGTTAAAGAAACACTTCAAAAAATTGATCATACAGTAAGAAGTTCTAAAAAGAAAAAATTCTCTAGACCACATTCTTTGTGGTCATAATCTGATAAAATTATAAATCATAACTTGAAAAGTAATTTTTAAAATGACACTGAAATGTTTGAGGCAAGATTATAATTGAGGAAAATTAAAGGAAATACCATCAAAGTCAGATATGCCTAAAGCTGTTGTCTGAGAAAATTTTATAAACCTTCATTATTTATTTTAAAAATAGAAAATAAATGAACTAATTGCTTGAGTAATTAGGGAAAAAATTACCAAAAGGAATGAAAAGAACAAATTACCAGGAAATATAATTGAAATTAACAATATAGAAATTTATTTAAAAAGAAGCAGCACAAATCCCAATCCTGGTGCTTTGAAAAATTGGTAAGAATAACTAGCGCCTTGTGAGCTTGGTTAAGGTGAAAAGAACCAAATATATAAAGGAAGTAGGAATGATTAAAAAAAAAAAAAAAGACCTATATCCATACACATAAGAAATATTCAAAGAATTTTCTTCAATTGTAAAATGAAAACACCTATTTCATAAGGGTTGTTGGGAGAACTAAGAGTTAATCTATTCTGAGCACTTAAACTAGTAACAAATGGTAAGCACTCAATTATTATTTTGCTGTTAGCTATTATAATGAAATTCTGTGTATAACTGAGGGGACAGAAAGAAAATACGAAGTTCCTAGAGGGTTTTATGCTTAGCGAAATAAGTCAGAGAAAGACAATTATCATATGATCTCCCTGATATGAGGAAGTTGAGATGCAACATGGCGGGGTTGGGGTAGGAAAAGAATAAATGAAACAAGATGGGATCGGGAGGGAGACAAACTGTAAGAGACTCTTAATCTCACAAAACAAACTGAGGGTTGTGGGGGTGGGATAGGGAGAGGGTAGTGGGGTTATGGACATTGGGGAAGGTATGTGCTATGGTGAGTGCTGTGAAGTGTGTAAAACTGGCGATTCACAGACCTGTACCCCTGGGGCTAATAATACATTGTATGTTAATAAAAAATTAATTTTTTAAAAATGCAAAAAAAATATGAAGGTCCAAAAATTGACCCAACAATAATAGAAATTTGAATTACCACATAAGTGTAAAAGCTACTTAGAATTTTACCATTGAAGGGACACAGTGATAAGATGGCTTCACAGATGATTTTTCTAGTTTGTAAGGAACGCTCATGTAATAATATACAAATGATTTCAGGCTTTTCTTAAAACCAAAAAACCAATTTTTTTTCTAATTATTTTATGAAACCCATGTAATTTTAATATCAAAAGTAAAGATAGTAATCCCCAAAGAACAATAGAAAACTCTAAAATACAAAGGATTTTCTAAATAGATGTTTAGAAATACCTAGCAGCATATCAAGAATAATAATAAAGGTTTATTCCAAATAAGAGGATAGCGTAGTACGAAAATATTCATAGTACATCAACAAATAATAGGAGAAAATAATGATTTTTATCAGAAGATGAAGTCAGTTAAAATTTAACAAAAATTAATAAGAAAGAACCAAAAGGAAATTACTTAAATATAATAAGTAAAATTAACAGCAAGTATCCTAATTGGCCAGAGATGAATCAGCAACTAGAGATGTTTGCTGTCCATTTTTATTTAATGTTACATTAAAAGTTATACCAAATGGAATAAGATAATGTAGTTAAAGGTATAAAACAGTGAAAGAAATAATTGTATTTTTCTCCTCACTATGTAATTGTAGAAGAAAACACAAACTCTAGTTTTAAAGAATTTAATATGGGGCCCATATGCAGATTAAATGTATAGATGTGTCTAACTTATATTGATCACTTCATGAATAGATATGGTATATCCATACAGTGAAATAATAATTCACTAAAAGGTGGAGTGAAGTACTAATTCAAGCTGCACTACTTGGATTAACCTTGAAAACATGCTAAGTAAAGAAAGTCAGTCATAGAAGGCCACATTTATATGAAATGTCTAGAATAGGTTAAATCCATAGAAATGGAAATGAATTGTTTCCAATATTGTTATGGAGGATAAGCCAGGACAAAGGAAAGAAAAAGAGTTTGAGAACAAGAAAAGAATAAATAACACCCATCAGTATTTGCAGATGAAATGATCATATGCATAGAAAAGCCCAAAGCATCTTAGATAAGCTAGTAGAATTAAGAATTGAACAGATTGGTTACCAAAACACCTATAAACAATCAGTTGTATTTTTCTTTTTTTTTATTTTTTTTATTTTTTATTTTAAAAGATTTTATTTATTTATTTGACAGAGAGAGATCACAAGTAGACAGAGAGGCAGGCAGAGAGAGAGAGAGAGAGAGAAGCAGGCTCCCTGCCAAGCAGAGAGCCCGATACGGGACTCGATCCCAGGACCCTGAGATCATGACCTGAGCCGAAGGCAGCGGCTTAACCCACTGAGCCACCCAGGCGCCCCCAGTTGTATTTTTCTATACCAGAATCAAACATAATAAAAAATACTTTTCAAAGATATATTTACACCAAACAACCAAGATTTTTTTCAACAGGTAAGCCATGGTGATGAGGGGAGATGCAAGTGGCAGTTAACAAACTTAGAGATATTCCAGTTAATTGTAATATGTAAACTATTTTGGATTCTGATTAAAAATTTGATACTGATGCATTGGAATTTTGAACAATATTATTTCTAAGGATCTTTTTCTCTCTCTTTTTTTTTTTCTTTTTAAAAGATTTTTATTTATTTGACAGAGAGATCACAAGTAGAAAGGCAGGCAGAGAGGGGGAAGCAAGCTCCCTGCTAAGCAGAGACCCCGATGCGGGACTAGATCCCAGGACCCTGAGATTGTGACCTGAGCCAAAGGCAGAGGCTTAACCCACTGAGCCACCGAGGTGCCCCAAGGACCTTTCTCTTAAGGGAGTTTGAAAATGCTCTTGTGGTTAAGTGTTTGTGTCTTCCAGAAATACATAGTAAAATATTTATTAAAGGATGGGTTCCTGGGATTTGCTTCAACAAAATACAGGAAAAGGAGAAGTTGATGGAAATGGATTGGCTGTGGTTTAATGGTTTTGGAGGCTACATAATGAATATGTGGGCTCATTATACTACTGTTGAGTGTGTTTGAAATTTTCTGTAATGTTCAAATGAAAAAGTATCATTGAAAAATCAAAATAATATGGAGGAAATTATGAAGCAATCTTAATAAAAGATGCCCAAGATTTATGTAGAAGATTGTAACACTTTGTTAAGGCAGTAAACCTATCTAAATACTGAAGGTTTGTCTTGTAAACCTTTTTGTAAAAACTGCCCGTTGTCAAAACTGACATTTGGAATATGTAGAAATAGCAGAATCTCAAGTAAATTTCCAGGAAGTTTTAGGTGTAACTTGAAAAGCTGATTCTGTCATTTCTGTGGCATTTTATTAAGGGCCTGGAATTATCTTAGGGTAGGGGAAAGCAGGCTACTGCTGACTGTTTCTGTAGAGTTTTACTGGAATGCAACTATGCTTTCTTATTTATCATCTATGGATGCCTTTTGCAGAGATCAAGATGCCCACAAGCCTAAAATACTTTCTGACTCTTTAAGAAATAGTTGGCTGACGAGTGCTCGGGTCTAGTTGCTAAGACCAAGTAGTTCTCAGAGTATGTGCTAGATCATCTGGCCAGCAACAGCAGCATCATCTACACATTTGTTAGGAATGCAGGTTCTCAGACTATACACTAGACTTACTAAATCAGAAACTCTGGGTATGGGACTCAGCAACCTGTTGTAACCCAAGTGATTCTAATGCCAGAATAATTAAATGGGCTAATGAAATAGAACATAAAGCCCAGAAATAAACCCACACATTTATGGAAACTTTAATGATATATGGCTTCAGATGAGTTGGAAGAAGACAGAATTTTTTTTTTTTTTTTTTTTTTTTTTAAATTTTTTATTTATTTATTTGACAGAGAGAGATCACAAGTAGACAGAGAGGCAGGCAGAGAGAGAGAGAGGGAAGCAGGCTCCCTGCTGAGCAGAGAGCCCGATGCGGGACTCGATCCCAGGACCCCGAGATCATGACCTGAGCCGAAGGCAGCGGCTTAACCCACTGAGCCACCCAGGCGCCCAAGAAGACAGAATTTTTAATTAATAGTGCTGGGACAATTGGGTACCCAATTCGTCTTCCTAGATACTAATTTCTTTTTTTTTTTTTATTTAAAGACTTTTTTTTTTTTTTAACTTTTCATTTATTTGACAGAGATCACAAGTAGGCAGAGAGGCAGGCAGAGAGAGAGGAAGCAGGCTCCCCGCTGAGCAGAGAGCCCGATGCGGGGCTCAATCCCAGGACCCTGGGATCATGACCTGAGCCGAAAGCAGAGGCTTAACCCACTGAGCCACCCAGTCCCCCCCGCTAGATACTAATTTCTAATAAGATAAGTAAAGCAGGGGTGCCTGGGTGGCCCAGTGGGGTAAGCCTCTGCTTTCGGCTCAGGTCATGATCCCAGGGTCCTGGGATTGAGCCCCGCATCGGGCTCTCTGCTCAGCGGGGAGCCTGCTTCCTCTCTCTCTGCCTCTCTGCCTACTTGTGATTTCTCTCTCTGTCGAATAAATGAATGAAGTCTTTAAAAAAAGATAACTAAAGCAGCATGGATTTGGCTCAAAATATAAGTGGGAACTTACTGAGTGGAGAAATATGCTGTTTATTTTCATTTAGAAGAGAAAAGTGTATCTTAATAAGTGGAACAAGTGTTGCAAGAAAAAATTAGAATCCTACTTCACACTGTAAATAAAAATAGATTTTAGTTAGAGATAAATGTAAAAAATAAAAGTATTAGAAAGTTTAGGAATATATATATATGTATAACCTCATCAAGAACTATAAATTTGTATTCAGTATCATTAAAAGGTTAATGAAAAGATACAAGACTGGGAAAATAGTTTTGTTAGAATGACAAGCAATAGATTTTTATCTCTAATTAAGCTCTAAATGAATGTGACCGAAAACCTGATAGAAAATGGTCAGGGAACAAAGGATAGTTTACAGAAAAGGAACTCTGAATGGTTAATAAACCTGTCATAAGGGGCACCTGGGTAGCTCAGTGGGTTAAGCCTCTGCCTTCAGCTCAGGTCATGATCTCACGGTTTTGGGATTGAGCTCAATCCCAAAATCCGCATCCGGCTCTCTGCTCGGCAGGGAGCCTGCTTCCCCCACCTCTTTCTGCCTGCAGTTTCTGCCTACTTGTGATCTCTCTGTCAAATAAATAAATAAAATCTTTAAAAATAAAAAAATAAACCTGTTATAAGATACTCACCTTCTCTAATCAGAGAAATGCAAATTTAAAACAAGCATGTTAATACTATTTTTTGTTGTGTGGTTTGTTTTTGTTTGTTTTTTTTTTCCCATTCTTCAGGTAGGTAAGCACAATTGTGACACAAGTACATCTACTTTGAGTGGAGATGCTGGGAAATGGTTCCTATTGTTACTGTTAGGATTGTGGCTTACCCAGCCATTTACGATACTGTAAAATTCACCCTTTTACCCAGAATCCCTCTGAAATAAATGAAACTACTAGTATGTATGGATATGTATTCAGTGATCTTTTTTTACAGTTGTGTTTACAGTGGTGAAAGAGTGAAAACAACTTGAATATCCCATTAGTGTATCAGTGATAGAAAACTGTGTTAAGTGGGTGTACTTGAAATGTCTGGCTTGTATCAAAAAGAATGAATTGACTTTAACTCCCTTCAAGACATATCTACAGTATTAATTGAAGAAAGTAATTTGCAAGCTATATCTCATTTATGTTAAGGGAAAAAAATTAACGTAACAATTTGTGGATAATCTGTATATATTGATATGCCCATGGAAAAAAGATGTTGAAGGGTTATATATTATTAACATTGTTTGTCTCAGGTAGGATAGGAATCAGACTGGCCAAGAGAAAAGGAAATTATTTAACCTTTTAAATTCTCCTTCACGTGTTGTACTAGTTGGATTTAAATTTTTAAAAAGATTGCCTGTTGGATGTGGCTAGGTATTAGACGATACAGCTTTCATGTTTCAAAGTTTCCTCAGAAAAGTTTTCTCTATAAAGCAGACGAGAAGAGTTAATACAGCAGTTCATTATTCTCCTGGACTTTTCAAGTCTTTTTGAGGGTCAAGTTTTGTCTCAGTTCTGTGGGTTTTATATATTATTCTTGAAACAGTCAGCTGTCCTGTACAATGATAAAGAATATTCTGGTTGAAGCCTTTGGAGAAGTGCATTGTGAAATTCTGTGTAGCTAAGAGAGGAATCCATAAAGGCCTAGATTTTAATTTTTAATAGTTGATTTCTTATTCAAACACCTGAAGTTCTAAGGTTGCATTTTTCTTTCCTACTAGCTCCATCAGGGCACTGTCCCTGTTTCTTACACAGTAACAACAGTGGCACCACATGGGATCCCACTCTGCACAGGCCAGCACATCCCTGCTTGCAGTACACAACAGGTCCCAGGATGCTCTGTGGTTTTCAGTGGACAGCACCTCCCTGTCTGTAGTGTGCCTCCTCCAGTAAGTCTGCAATCCCCTTAGAATGGCTAAGTGTAAGCAAACAGAATTAAAGAGACTGCTCTTTGGAAAAAGCTTTTCATTTTCAAATAAAAAATGCAATTTTATTGCAACAGGAGTCTCAAAGCATACTTAAAATAACGATTTAGTAAAGTTAGCTTTAAAACTTGGTGTATTTTCAAATTAAATTACACATATTTGAATATCCTGAAGAGAAAGCATGTATCAGCACTGTTTATAATTAAACCTTGATAAAGGTTGGATTTAGGGTACTAACATGGGATATTAAACTACTTAGGAAGTTAGTGTCAGAGACTTTAGTGATCAACAGTAATAGCCTCAGCACTTACTAGATTTTACAAGCACTTTGAGTGCTTGGTCTTACTTATTTCTCACTGTAGGAAGCCCGTGGTAACAATGGTATCCCCATTTTCTAGATGATGAAATTGAAAATGACTTAATGTCACAGAGACAATTAGTATGAGAGAGCAGTGATTCACACCCCACTTCCTTCTGCCTCTTAAGCTCATGTTTTATCCTTTAATCCACTAACCCCCAGTCTAACCTCCTTATTTCACAAATGAGGTCACTGAAATCCAGAGAATTTAAATGACTTGTCTGACTAAGGTTTTCAAAGTAAAGCACTTTCCTGAAACTAAATATAATCCTAATATCTTTATTTGAATATGAGATTAAAAGGAACACAGAAATACCAACTCTAGTTTTAATTTATTAATTTATCCCAACCTTGATTTCTCAGTAATGGATTATGGGATCAGTGTGCTAAATTAGCAGACTAAAATATTGAGAGACATAACATAAGGGACTTAGCTATGGGTTGGGCTCTTAGTAAATATCAAAATTCCATAAATAAGAAAATTTCTGTAACATTGAAAAGGATAGGTTCTTGGACAGGAAAGCAGTAATATCTGGTTATTCAGTCAAGTAGAAAGGAGCTTCCTCTTCTGTGCAACATTTTTCACTCCATTTCATAGGTATCAAAAAGCTAGAGAGGAAGTTAGGTGTTTTGACTTATGTGCCAGAACTATATAAAATACAGAATAATTACTAGTATTTTACTGATAAATGCAAAAATACGCTATAGTTTCATTGTCAGTGTAGGTCATTAAGACATTTTGGTATGATTTTGAGCGGGATATGGCAATGACATTTCAATCTCAATGTATAGGTTTTTAAGAATATATTATTACTAGTTTTATATTAATAAACAACAAATAATGGTTTCTTTTACAGATGCTTCAAGCATGTTCAGTTCAGCACTTACCAGTACCATATGCCGCATTCCCACCCCTTATTTCTAGTGACCCATTTCTTTTACATCCTCCCCACCTTTCTCCCCATCATCCTCCTCATTTGCCACCACCTGGCCAGTTTGTCCCTTTCCAAACACAGCAGTCACGATCGGTAGGTATCTACTCTTATGTCTTTTATTTTCAGAGAATGTATAGACCTAAGAGGCAGATTAATTTGATAGCTGTTATTTGTTACCACTTAAAAACTATAATTTAGGCATTCTTCTGGTTCTTAAAAGAATTAGGGAATTCACAGATAAATAAATTAATATAAACATGTTTACCTAAAATTATCTTGGTTGCTTAAGTTTTTCTAGTTCTTTTATATGTCTCTTGTATAATTTAAAATTGTTCCTTCATGTCTGCAATCCTTCTGGAAGTAAATCTGAAGAAAAATTCAGTTCTGTTTTTTCCTTTTATGTATTTCTGAAATGGTGGAAAATGAAAGTATTATAAAATAGTTTATTTATACTTGCTATAATAATTACTTTCATTTAGGCAAGTAATGTAAATTTCTTTGTTTTCTGGGGTTTTTTGAAGTCCCAATTTTCTTCTATATTCTGACGAAAAGATGAGGTCATCTGTTAAAATACAGTTAATTTTGTCTTGGGACTGGAATTTAGCTGAGAGGCATATTCTTTTGAGGGGTTGGGGTTTGAGGGGTTGCAGCAGTGGAAGGGAGGGCACAGGAAGGAGGCCCAGATGTTTTTTGGACAGGCCAAGTTAACCATCTGAACTATCAGGCATTCAGGGTGAATGGGAAAGAGAACATATGGAATGATTAGGGGAAAAGATTTTAAGTCCTGTGAAAGGAACTTGACCATGTATCCTAGAGGAACCTTAACCATCCTTTACCCAGGATTTATGCACCGTGCGGGGTCTCAGGTAGAGGAGAACTTAACCTGGATGCTCCTCTGACAGCTATAGAAGCCAATTAGGACAAAAGTTTGGCTTATCCAGAAAGGTATAACTACTTCTATAAGAAAGTCTTTATTAGAATCATGGCAGGATTGGGCAGGATGTTCTTAGCTTCCAGTACCTGATAATTCAAGGTTAAAACAAAATTTTGCCATCACTTACGTTTGAGTTTGGTATCCTTTAAAAGGTCCAGTCACATAGCCAGATCACAGCAGCTCAGGTTCACTTGTGTTGTCATGGTGTCAGCGGTTGGGATTTCTCTCAGCGTATATAAGCTCCCAAACTAAAGTGGAATTTTGTTTGAATAGTGAATAATGTGTTGATAATTGTCTAACTGCAGAGGAAGTTGGACTAACATTGAAGAATACGTGTTCCTAAAGGAATCAGATACGCAAAAATATGTACATAAGTGTTCATAGTAGCATTACTCCTAACATCAAAAGGTGGAAAGAGTTCAAATGTCCATCAACTGATGCAGTGAATCTTTTTTAACTATAAAAAGGAGTGAAGTACTGATACACAAACTACAAAATGGATGAGCCTTGAAAACATTATGCTAAGTGAAAGAAGCCAGACACAAATGACACAAACATATGAAATGTTCCAGGATAGGCAAATCTGTAGAAATGGAAGGTAGATTGGCAATTGTCCAAGGATTGGGGAGGACTGGGAAAATGGGGTAGTGGACTCCTAATGAGCACAGGTTGGGGGGTGGAGGGATGAAAGTGCCATGGAATTAGATAGTGATGAAGGTCATACAACTCCGGTGAATCTACTTAAATCTATTGAATTGTACCCCTTAGCAGGGTGATTTTTTTTTTTTATAGTATGTGAATTATATCTCAGTAAAGCTATTGTCAAGAAGAAACATACTATGTGCTTTGCTTTCCTACATTGTCTCAGTGTTCATAGCATGCTTTTGAAGTAGGCAGTGAACCTTTTAGTCCTCTAGATAGTATGAGGTTCATATGAAGTTATTTATATAAAAGTCACATGGCTCATTAGTGACAACAACAAGAGTCTAATACTGAAGCCCATAAGTCTTCTAATACAGCATCATGTCTGCTCTATATGATCCCACCCATTTAGCCCTGGTTCTGATTTATAAATATACACATGCTCAGTTTCATATGTTAAAGATGTCTGAAGTGTCTGAAGATTTTGTGAGGTCAGTGTATTATGACTAAAAAGGAATTTTAACTTCTATATAATTACTTTCCATCTCCTTTTTATGAGACATTTCAAATAGTAAAATGTTTATTGGAAATGTTTTAACAACATGTTTCAGAGATTTTACTGTAGTCTGTATGTCCACATGTATAAATTTAGATTGGTATAAACATCAAGAAATAAATGACCTTAAAGGTGTTTGGGGGAGGTTAATTTTTATTATTATGAAACATAGTATGTCTAAACACTGGTAGTATATTAATATATTAGTTTGCTCTTTTCCTCCCTCAGCCTCTGCAAAGGATAGAAAATGAAGTGGAACTCTTAGGTGAACATCTTCCAGTAGGAGGTTTTACTTATCCTCCATCGGCCCATCCCCCAACATTACCTCCATCAGCTCCTTTGCAGTTCCTAACCCATGATCCTTTGCATCAGGAGGTGTCCTTTGGAGTAGTAAGTTTTCAGTCATGTTATTAATCTATTACTTGCTCTGATAACTTGTTTTGAGTTCTGTTTCTATATAACTCTGCCTGTTTAGAACTTTAAATGTATTCTTGAAAGCGTTTAGTTGGAAAATTGTATTTAAAACTACACCTAAGTGTATTTTTTTTTTTAAGATTTTATTTATATCTAAAGAGGAAGAGAAAGTGGGTGGTGAGGGAGAGGGGCAAGCAGATTCCATGCTAAGCTCAGAGCCTGGTGCGGGACTCGATCCCATCACCCTGAAATCATTACCTGAGCCAAAATCAAGTCAGATGCCCAACTGACTGAGCCACCCAGGTGCCCCAGTCACTAAGGAATATACTTAAGTGTATGGTTGTTGTTTTTTTTAAGATTTTATTTATTTATTTGACACAGAGATCACAAGTAGGCAGAGAGAGAGGGAGAAGCAGGCTCCCTGCTGAGCAGAGACACCCCCCCCCCCATGCGGGGCTTAATCCCAGGACCTTGAGATCATGACTTGAGCTGAAGGCAGAGGCTTTAACCCACTGAGCCACCCAGACGCCCCTTAAGTGTATGTTTTAAACTAGTTGTATTTATGCTAACATTTAATAAATACCAAATGTTACTTACTTAAATACTAAGAAATTTTGTAGGTTTTTTAAGAAGAGAGACTATTAGGCAAAATAAATAGTTAAAAAGGTAGGGTGATCTTAAATTGTTTTAACTTTTTTCCCCCTACAGCCTTATCCTCCATTTATGCCTCGGAGGCTCACAGGACGTAGTAGATATCGATCCCAGCAGCCAATACCACCTCCCCCCTATCATCCCAGCTTACTACCATATGTGTTGTAAGTTCTGTTTTTCTCATTTTAGTGAATTCTGAATTTTGATAGCCTTGACATTCTCCTCCTTTTATGAATATCTTCTGTGTGATACACGATTTAGGGTGTGTTAGAGATTTGTTTTTATTTAATGTTAAGGGATTGGACTGGGAGACTGTGTAAGGGTGGAATAAAGAGAAGAACCAAGAACAAGGGAGAAGTGGGAGAGGAAGAAATTTGTGAGCCAGAAAATAGGTCAGAAGATTTTAAAAAAAAATCAAAAAGTAGAAAAGTTTACAATTTTGCCTCTCTTACAGCTGTCATCACTAGCTACCTTTGAATTTCCAGCTTTTTAAATTAAGATTTTATTATTTATTTGAGAGAGAGCGTGCGCGCCCGCATGTGCATGTGCATGTAGCAGGGAGGGGCAGAGGAATAGGGAGAAGCAGACTCCACACCAAGTAGGGAGCTCATTGTGGGGCTTGATCCCAGGACATTGGGATTTATTTCTGTGCCTTAGAAATACTGTTAGGATTAAGTTTGTAACAGATGCCCAAGTGTTACACATGATAGTTTTTAATTTGTCTCTCACTGAGTGAAGTTCAGAAGTGGGCGGTTCAGGGATTGTTAGCCCAATAATTAAGGAATGGTTCTACCATGTTCAAAATTTTATGGCTTTCTCTACATGATTGAAGATGGCTCCTCGGGTTCTAGCCATTATATCTACACTCCAACTAGCAAAAATGAAAATGGATCTCTCTGCCTTCCTGCCTAGTTTCCACTGGCCAGAATTCAGTCTCAAGTCTATAATTACCTTCTAAGAAGACTAGGAAATGTTTTTATACAGAGGGCAATGCTCCTATACCACACTTTTTTGATAATTGTAGCTATATTAGAAGTCTTAAAAATCAGATAGTATCAGAACTTGGCTCTTAAAATTATGTGAAGTCTTAAGTGATCCATGTAAAGTTTAAAATCAGCAAATCGGTTTCTACTAAAATATAGTTTGCTGGGATTTTGGTAGGGGTTGCATTAAATTTATAGATCAATTTTGGAAGAGAATTGGTATCTTCTAGTCTGCTTAACAGTATATTTCTCTATTTGTTAATTTAAAAAAATCTTCCTGGTTGTAGTATTTTTAGTTTTTAATTATATAGGTCTTGCACGTGTTTTATTAAATTATAATCCCTAATATTTCATGTTTTTTATGCTATTGTGAGTTGTATTTTTTTAATGTCAGTTTTATTGCTAGTAAAGTCCTTTAAAGGGTTGCCACTGATTAACACTGACCATTCTTTATTCTTCTAGCATTAACCTTGTTCTTCCCATCCTATTCATTGAAGTAGTGTACCAGTGTATCAATATTAGTGTTGGTTGTTTTCACTGCAGATCAATGCTTCCAGTGCCACCTGCAGTGGGCCCAACTTTCAGCTTTGAATTGGACGTGGAAGATGGAGAAGTAGAAAATTACGAGGTTAGTAGGTAAACTGAGTTTGTTTGGGTAGAGTTATATGCATAAGAAGTATTCTACTCATTCACCTAATTAAACATGCATTTGATAAGTCCTTTGTATGTTTCACAACATGAATATATCAAAAAAGTGGTCAGCATCCTTGGGATATTTCTACACGTACCACACACCTATGATAATAAGATAGGCTTGGTGCTATATTAGAGTTACATAAAATGCCTTTGAGAGAATGTAAGTGGGAAACAGTGAATTGTGATTTGGTGTGAAAAGATTTTTTGGAAGCACAGGTGTTTGAGTTGGTTCCTAACGGATGGAATAAAAGCAGCTTCATACATGAGATTGAGGTAGGGAAGTGCTGGATATTCTTGAGGCATGACATAAAGTTGGTGGCTTAAGTGAAAAGGAGAAAATAGAGATTTGATTGAAAATCTCAGCTGGCTGTTGAGTATGTGTGCCCTGCTAGAGACATAATTTTCACTGTTGGGAGGAAGGAGCTGCTAAATGTTTTGGTTCTGATGGCATCAGATTCTACCTTTAAGAGTCAAAACTGCTAGTAGCATAAAGGAATAGATGGGAATGGTTAGACATTAGTGGGAGGAAAACTTACTAAATAGGTTGGGTAAATTACAGAACCATGCATTCTGAACTATGGGAACTGCAAATATAAAAGAGTAGATCTTGAGAGACTTTTTTCTTTATTCTTAAAGTTTTTAAATGTGGTTTAATTTGAGAGACTTAACACTAGAATCAGCAGGACTTGATTGCCAAATAGTTTGTGGTAGTGTCGGGTGTGCACAGGGGGCTTGCAAAAGAAGATGCTCTGCAAAAAAGATCGCAGTAGTTCATGAAGAAGGCAATAGCAGGTCAAGTAGCTTATATTTCACATACTTATATAATTTTATATATAATATATAAAATAATATATTACTTGAGGTTACGAATGGGAGGTGCAGTTTAGGGGTTGGAAGGCAACTTTGTATTGTTGATTGTAAGTGACAATGTGACTTTTTTTTTTTTTTAAATACTAGTTAAACCTTTCTCACCCCAGCTTTACTTGGTCTCTATACAATGTGAATAGAACCTAGGGACAGGGAAGAGACAAACATACACATACAATCTTAAAGCACCTTTGGTGTGTTGTTGTTTTTTGTTTGTTTGTTTTGTTTTGTTTTTAAACACACGTGGAAGAGATCAGGCCAAATACTATATTCTTCTGTAGTTTTCAAAATGCTCTTATGTCATTTTCCTTCTATCTTATATAATCACACTGCACTGTCCTTTGGACTCCAGTTCCAGATTTCTAGAGAGAGAAAGGGGCTGTGTAATAATTTCCTGGTTTCGTTTCTACACTGATGATGTCAGTTTCGTGCAAAGGAGTTGGTTATCCTTTAGGTATTGTATACTAAAATTAAGTCATAAGTCATGTTGCTGAAGAGGACAGCTCCTTGTTGAATAGATAGATCATGTACCCATCAGTGGAAAAAACAGTGATACCATCCCAACATAAGAAAAATATTTTGGGATGCCTGGGTGGCTCAAAGAGAGATGAAAATTGGCTCCTATTTCCCTTTCTAGGCCCTACTAAACCTGGCAGAGCGACTGGGAGAGGCTAAGCCTCGAGGACTGACTAAAGCAGATATTGAACAGCTTCCTTCTTACCGGTTCAATCCTAACAATCACCAGTCAGAACAGACTTTGTAAGTACATTTTTCTGACATCACTCGGAAATTTCCTTTTCTACCTTTATAAAATAAAAGCTTGAGAGTCAAAGATAACTTGATAAAGATAAATAGTCTCTATTGCATACTCCAGGCCTGTCCTATTCTGTAAGTTAGCCAGTAGTCATGTGAGGCTGTTTAAATTAAATAAAAAGTTAAGTTTCTTTATTGCACTCACTAATGAGTCTGTTGTTAGAAGATGTAGAACATTTCTGTCTCTAACAGTTCTGTTCGACAGTCCTGTTCTAGATTTTTAGGTTGCCTAGAAATTTTATGGTTTCTATTTCTAACTTCAAAATATTTTATATGAGATTGAAGAGCTTATACATGTAAAGGTTGAGGTTTTTACATAAATATTCTCCTTATTATAGTATCTTTAAGGACAACTTTATGGAGATACAATTCACGTGCAAAATATGCAATCAGTGGTTTTTAATATATTCATAGAGTTTTGTGACCTTCAAATTTGCAGTCTTCAAATTCAAATGTACACCATTTCTCCACGCCAAAAAGAAACCCCTTACCTACTAGCAGCCACTTTCCATTTTTCCCCAATCCTATCTATTCCAGCATAGCTTCCCACTAATTTACTTTTTTATCTCTGCAGCTCTGCCTGTCCTGGACATTTCACATTAATGAGATCATACAATACATGCTCTTTTATGTATGGCTTCTTTAACTTAGCATAATGTGTTCAAGGTCCATTATTTTGCTTGTATCAGTACTTCATGCCTTTTTATGGCCAAATAATATTCTGTCGTAAGGATAACACCAAATATTGCTTATCCTCTTCCTCAGTTGATGGGACTTTTGGGTTGTTTTCATGTTTTGACTAGTATTAATAATACTGCTGTGAACATTTGTGTACAGAATTTTTCTGTGGATATGTTTTCATTCCTCTTGGGTATCTAATAGATCATATGGTAGCTTTGTTTAACCTTTTTTAAAAAGTTTTTATTTATTCATTTATTTAAATAGTCTCTACACCGAACATGGGACTCAAACTTAGAACCCTGAGATCAAGAGTCACGTGCTCTTCTGACTGAGCGAGACAGATGTCTTTGTTTAACCTTTTGAGAACTTACAATTTTTTCCAAAGTTGATACACAATTTTACATTCCCACCGGCAATATGTAAAGTTTCTCCATATCCTCTCCAGTGCTTATTACTATTCTGTTTTGATTCTAGCTGTCCTAATGGGAGTGAGGTGGTATCTTACTAAGTGTACCTCCATTTCCTATATGGCTAATGATGTTGGACTATTTTAGTATGCTTATTGGCCACCTGTGTATTTATTTTCTTTGGAGAAATGTCTGTTAACATCCTTTGTCCATTTTTAAATTGTTGTATTTTTATTATTGAGTTGTAGAGGTTATTTATATGTTATACATACAAGTTGTTCCCTTATAAGATACGATTTTCAAAAATACCTCCCATTTTGTAAGTTGTCTTTGCACTTTCTTGATGGTATCTTTTGAAGCACAATTTTTTTAAATGTTCGATTTATCTACTTTTTTTGTTTCTTGTGCTTTGGTGTTGTTTCTGCTAAACCATTGCTTATTCCAAGGTCATGAAGATTTACCCCTATGTTTTCTTTTGGCAGTTTAATAATTTTCAGCTCTTAATTTAGGCCTTTGTTTACTTTTCAGTTAATTTTTGTATATCATGTGAGGTAGGGGTCCAACTTCATTCTTTTGTATATGGATGTCTGATTGTTTCAATACCATTTGTTGAATATTATTAGTGTCTTCAGTATTAAGACAAGCTTGGATGTTTAACCAGTTTTCTTGATGATCTCTCCATAAAGTGAAACATTCTAAATGTCTTAATATCATGATTTTTTCAGGATATTGATAAATTATTTTGTCTTGAAATTTAAATGACAGTTTGAAAAGTGAGATGATAAATGGTTTTTCTAGGTTTCATTAGTCATAATAAAATATAAAACCACTTGGATTTATGGTTAAGTGATCTTTTTTGCTTTTTTTTAGGTGTGTAGTATGCATGTGTGATTTTGAGTCAAGGCAGCTACTTAGAGTTTTACCCTGTAACCACGAGTTCCATGCCAAGTGTGTCGACAAATGGCTTAAGGTAAAGTGATGGCATCTGTGAAGAGAATAACATTGAATTTTCTTTTTTGTTGACCACAGTTTTATGTAAAGTAAGTCCCTTGTTCTGGTGGAGGATGGATAAGGAGACAAAATTTTCAGTGATGTCTGCAAATAGAAAAGGCCAGTAAAAATTAACTAGAGTCATCAATGTGGGAGTAATTGTGCAAACCTTAAAAATAGGTTATTTGTCTTTAATCATCAGTATATCCTTTCTAGTGGTATATATAGGGATGAATTCTGAACTTGTTGGGCCAGTTTCATCTAAGAGTTTAGAAGGGACTTCCTTTGTTAGAAATTTACATGGGAAATGAACCATTAGTGCTTTTATTTTATTTATTTATTTTTTAAAGATTTTATTTATTTATTTGACAGAGATCACAAGTAGGCAGAGAGGCAGGCAGGGGTGGGAGAAAGCAGGCTCACTGCTAGGCAGAGAGCCCAATGCGGGGCTCGATCCCAGGACCCTGAGATCATGACCTGAGCCGAAGGCAGAGGCTCAACCCACTGAGTCACCCAGGGGCCCCCACTAGTGCTTATATTTAATCCTGATCATTTTTCTGTTCTGTAGGTATGAAAAACCTACAGAAACAAAGGACACAAATTCCGTATTTTGTACTGGTAGAATAAAAATATGATGCAGTAAAATAATTTTAAAAGGGTCAACTTTATTGTTTTTTTAAGAGTATTCTGATTAGGAGATAAGACCAGTGATTTAGATAAGGTCACAGTTTGGTGAGGAAGACAGATGAGTTAAAACAGAATTAGTCCTCTGTATGAGCACAGAGTAAGGGTGCCCACTTTAGCTCAAGCCGAATCCAGAAGGCAAAGATTGTTAACTTTTTAAAAAAGTATTATATGTGCATGGCCCTGCAGTGTAGAACGGAGATTGATAAGAAAATAGCAGATCGTATATGGCTGATTTCAAGAGTGGCAAGAGAAGAGATAATTCAAAGATAGGGCCAGTGACCGGCTTATTGTGAAGTCACAATGTGTGTGAAGGAGTGTGGACTTGATCCTGGAAGTGATGTGGAAGCCTATGACTGAGATTGTGTTTTAGGAAGATGACTGACCACCATTTGGAGAATGGAAAAGGAGAGAGATTTCTGAGAGACTTTGAGAAGGAATGGTGATGTTCTGAGCTAGACAGAGAAGGAATACTGGCAATTGGATGAAAAGAAGAGAACTGATTCGAGAGCTATTATAACGTACAGACGGGAGTATTGGGTGAATAAAGTGTTTTAGAAAGAGAGCAGGTGATACTTAGTTTTGTGGCTTTGGCAACTCAAAGAACAGTGGTGCCATGTGTTGAGAGGGCATTTTAAGCTAGTTACTAAGTCTGTCTGAACTGGTGATAGGTAATCTTGTCTATATGTTGAAACAGACATAATTAAAAACAGTAATTCATCGACTACTAAGTCTTTGAGTTTGTAGGTTCTTTTTGTTTTGTTTTTTTTTTTAAGATTTTATTTATTTATTTGACAGAGAGGTAACACAAACAGGGGGAGTGGAAGAAGGAGAAGCAGGCTTCCTGCTGAGCAGGGAGCCTGATGCGGGGCTCGATCCCAGGACTCTGGGATCATGACCTGAGCTGAAGGCAGATGCTTAACGGCTGAGCCACCCAGGCACCCCTGTAGTGTATTTTTTTTTTTATATTTTATTTATTTATTTGGCAGAGATCACAAGTAGGCAGAGAGGCAGGCAGAGAGAGGGGGGAGGCAGGCTCCCTGCTGAGCAGAGAGCCCGATGCAGGGCTCGATCCCAGGACCCTGAGATCATGACCTGAGCCGAAGGCAGAGGCTTTAACCCACTGAGCCACCCAGGTGCCCCTGTAGTGTATTTTTTTTTAAAGAGATGAAATGATTGCTTTGCATCTTTTTAAAGGAATTAATAATGTAAAAACTATGGGAAATAAAAATAGCTCATTGTGTTTAACGTGTTACATTGTAAAATCACAGTTTAGACATATTTTCTCTTTTGTATTTTAGGCAAATCGTACTTGCCCAATCTGCCGAGCTGATGCTTCAGAAGTGCATCGGGATTCAGAATGACCAACCTAAGAGCACAATTTTAGTTTGGGTGTTCCTCATCACATGTATATACGGACTATCCATTGAACTTAATCTGTGTGGCTTCCAGCCCTCCCTTTACCAAAAGGGTCAATGGACCTTTCTTTGCACTGTGTGACTTAATCAACTATAAAAGCTTACAATTAGTCTTCACAATTATGGGATTGTTATACTAACCGTGTGATTGGAACTCCAAAGACTTTTTCTTTAGCTTAATTTTGTGTGTGCACTAACATTCCCTGGTTTTTGTGTGATCATTCCGAGTGTTGCTGCAAGATTACAGTGGACGTGATCTTTTAGCATGTGCTTTTATAAAAAGTGGTAGCTCCAGATGATATAGCAATCTACCTTATATAGAGCCTTCAGAAACTGTGAGTGGAAATGAATGCAGCGTATGACTGTTGATGATAAATGTATCTGTGTGTGAGAGAGAATGCGCAACTACTTGTGTGAGGGCATGGTAGCTAACGTGTGTATGAGATCCTATATACCAGCATGTACCAAGAATGTGTGTGTAGTTTTAATTATGCTGCAATGTATAATCTGGTGTGTTATTTAAACAGCACTAGTACTGTACACTGGTTTTTTCCCTTGTGTTTGCTGTTGCACACTGATTGCTAAGGGTGCATCAATGATAAGCATTGAATACTCCATCCCTTCCCTCCCAGTGAATGGAATGAGAAAAGCCTTCTTCCTTTGCTTCAGGCAGCTGTCACCTTCTCTTTGTTGGTGGTCCCAAGTGGGTCACTTAAGAAAAAAAGTGTAACAGATTTCTCACTCCATGAACCTGATTTTTTGATTCTGTTGTGAAAAAAAATTTTTTTTTAATCTCCAACTTACTGTTTCCAAAAAGAAGGTGCAATATCATACATCATCAGTTAGCAATATTAGCATTTCAATCAGTGATTTGAATGTTGATACTTTCTTGTTTTTTCCTTTACATTTCCAGTAAGTTTCTTACAGGAAGTACCTGTGATTTTTTTTTTTTTTTTTAATGTTTAGGTTTGTAGTCTATTCTGAAGATTTTTGAGTAATATATTTCTAAGAATATCGCTGGTCCCATTGTCTCACCTCCTTTACTTCCACCAGAACAAAATCTGTTAGCTAATTCAGCTTGACTTTTGATATGTTCTTTGTTAAGCGCTCATAGGCAACTAAATTCTTTTAAGAAATTCTGTTTCTGTTTGTACTGATTCACCTGCCAACCTCCAATTCTGAAAGTTGTCTGGTTCTTCCTTCAGTAAATGTGCTTCTCATGGAAACCCTCATTTCCAGGATGGATCAAGTGCTGTGACAGCTCGAATTCTTAGACCTGATGTGCTTTGATGTTTCATTGCTTTTTAAAAATTTTGTTTGAATGAGAAAAATTTAATATAACAGGTCCAGAATACTTGCAGTATAAATGAAGATTTGATTTTTGTATAAAAAAATAATGCTGTAAAACAGGAATTGACCTTCATTTAGTTGATCTGAAATAATACATAGCTGTGTGGGGTTTTTTTTTTATAGGTCCATTGAGCATCATCTAGATTGTTTAAAGTCATTTTTCCAGCAGTGTTTTGGTTCCTCCCTCCTTCTTTCATTGTCTTCAGCCTTGTCTGCCTCTTCCTGCAGTTGAGGTCATTGCTTTGTTTGCAGTAGTGCAAGCTGCCTAATCCCAGTCAGAACTGTGATGACTTGCTGCCAGCCTCACTCAGCTTTCAGTTGGCTCTGTGTCCGTTTTCTACTCAGACAGTGTTAACTACTTGTTACTGCCATGCTACTTGCCTTCCCTGAAGTCTCTATAAGCTCATCCCAGCTTAGAGTTCAGTAAAGTCAGTTCTCACAGAAGCACAATTTTGCCCTTTTCAAGACACTGTTGCCTCTATCTAGTCAGACAAATAGGATTTTGCATACTTTCTGTTTGCCCCAGTATTTGTCAGTGCATCAGAAATACATCTCAATAGTGCTAAAGTGCACATGTTACTTTTCAATCCTTAGGATATTCCCCACCTGTTCCTGATGAATAAAAAGTGTGTTGAAGACCAAAATTATTGGCGTAATAATCAGCTACATTACAAATCACGTATAGTTTGATCTTTATTTTTTTTAAGTATAAAAAATCATGTTTAAAATGGCAAAAGCCCATCTTATACATAGACTCTTTTATATAGCTGCAAAAAATTTATATCTGTACAGATCTAACATAACACTACTACACTCAGTATTCATTTTATTGAAGCATGCAAGTAAAGCACTTTTTCTAATTTATATAGATACCTAATTAACAAGGCACATTGTACTAATGACTAGGAAAAGTAGCTCTTTTGTCCTTCCCTCTGACGATGAATTCTTGTCATAATATCCCTTTTCCAGCAAATTTTTGAGAGGCAGTTGGCAATTTAGGAGGCAGCAGGGTCTATTTTGGTAAAATCCTGAAGTAATGTTGCACTTTTGTGACTGATCTCTCTTTGGGAATGTCTTTGCATGGGGCCCTTGGAGATGTGTACAGATTTGCTTATTAAGTGGTTAGTGTGTATTAGGAGCATATATGCATGTGTTCTGAACCAGCTCAGACTAGCCACAGTGAGCAGCTTCATGGCTAACAAAAGAAAGAATAGTTGCTTGGTGCCCAGCTGTTGTCACCTTGAGCGATATACCAGATAGCAGGCAGGTGTTGGTTTGTTGCCTTCTTCCTCTTTTCTCCTAAAACAGTATTGGCTTTACCACCTTAACTCTGCTGTGGGGTTTTCATTTTGTGTTGTTTTGCATGAATTATCATCTTTGAATTTTTTCAGCCTCCCCAACCCCCACCACCATAGAACAAAACAAAAAACAAGTCAAGGCCTCCAGGTATCCAGATCTCATTAGGATTTTCTGTCCTGAATTTTTTTGAGCAAAATCTGGAAAATGTGAAAGCATATTTAGATTTTATACACTCTCTGAAATGGGATTTATTAAGATTCTTAAATTGGGCCTCTTATAGTATTTTGAATGAGATCTACCAACTCAAAGAGAATATTTTTCACAGATATCTTTAGGCCTTCTTTAGAAAGCTAGTTTCCCCCCTGTGGTACATTTGGTTACCTCATTTTGCTGTTTGTTTCAGATTATGAAAGCTTACAGGGGTGTTTTTTGGAATCATTTGCTGAGTCATTTCCTCAAATCCTATTCCATTGTATCAGTTAACATATAGTTTTAAATGTACGTATTATAAATATCTGTAACCAAATCATTTGAAGGCTTGATAAATTTTTAACAAAGTTTGTACATTTTTTATGAAAGTTACTAGTAATGCTTTACTAAGTAGTGCAATGAATTTTTATTTTTAATCCCTGTGCCCAATTTTGGAGTTGAGAGGGTTGTTGGTAATAAATGTATGATGTACACCTAAAACATTTTGTTGCGTTTCGTGTTACTGTGTTAAGGAAGGGGTAGGGTTGAATGTGCTTGAAGGGAGGGTTGTAGGGGAATTCCTGCAGGAGGATGGACCTGTTGAGCTATTTGCACCTATATTCAATTTTTAGGCTATAATACAGATTTTTACTGTATTTTTAATCATCCTAGAAACACAAAAACAATTAGCATTATAATATACAGAACAGAATTCTACTCTCTAAAAAGCCAAGATAGGGGCGCCTAGGTGGCTCAGTGGGTTAAAGCCTCTGCTTTTGGCTCGGGTCATGATCCCAGGGTCCTGGGATCGAGTCCCACATCGGGCTCTCTGCTCAGCAGGGAGCCTGCTTCCTCCTCTCTCTCTCTGCCTCTCTGCCTACTTGTGATCTCTGTCTGTCAAATAAATAAATAAAATCTTAAAAAAAAAAAAGCCAACATAGCTGAATATAGCCACACATGTGGCATAGGTTTATTGAATAATAGGGCCATATAGTAGGTAACAAGATTTCTTTCTATATGTGTTAACCATAAGATGCAGGAAATAAGATAACAATAGATAACTGGGCAAATTGGTCACCATTAGCTACAGCTTAGGTCCAACTTACTGTCAACATAATGGGGAAGAAGACCCTCTGTTATTTTCCATACATGTGTGTGTAATCCCTTTTCTTTGACCAAAAAGGAATAAAACACATGTACTTAATATATCTATGCCAGCCATCTTACTTGAGAAGGAAAGTTAGAAACAAAACAAAGTCGAGGCTGAAGAATAGATTTCCCTCCTCTTCCCTCTCTCAGGGCCTGAGAGAAGAGGCTGCCCTCTGACGCTCCAGACCATAACTATTAGAAGCATCCAGTGAAATGACCAAGTCCTGATTGTTTCTCTCATTTTCCCAGCATACTGGAAAGAATGCTTGTTTTGGACTTTGAATGCTTCCAGAAATCCAAACCTTGTGCTGTCTTATGGCAGAGGCCTTTGCTACCCTCAGTGTACACCCATGCAGGTGCTCATGCCTCCCTACCTGCAGTAAGGTGGAGGCCTGCACAGCTATGTGAGCGTTTGAAATGTGGACAGTCCAAATTGAGATGTATTGTACATTTATACATTGGGTTTCAAAGACCTGGTTTGAGGAAACAAAATGTCAGTACTTTTTACACTAATCCAAAGACCTTTGAAAGGCCTCTAAGGAAGCACAGGCCCTGTGGCAGCACTTAAAAGCCATGGCAGCCCTGGGTTCTGAGTCACTAGGTGGAAAAGAGCTGTCCTAGAAAGCCTTTGGAATCAGATTTCCCGTGAGCAACAGAGACCCTTAAATAAGATGTGCAGTGTAGACTTCTACCAGGACTTCATCTTTGCCCATTTATTCCCCCCTTTGACAAATCTTTTTCTTCTTAAATTCTTAAGTCACCTATTGAACCTTGGATTTATCAGTTGTGTCAGTTAAAGCTCACTGGCTACCATTATTTCTTAATAGATCACAAAACCTGATTTGTACCAAAGGAAAAAAATTCTTGTGAATGTTTGTGATCATTGCTCTTAAGTGTTTCAGGTCTCTTGTATGTTACAGATTACTGAACTACTACAGACTGCTGTCAGAAATATAATGAGCCACAATTGTAATTAAAGATTTTTTTAGTTACCACATTAAAAAGTAAAAGGAAACAGTTGAAATATTTTTAATACATTCTACCAAACCAACCCAAAGTATTTCAGTATGTGATTAGTATAAAAATTAATGAGATGTTTTACGTTTTCTTATACCAAGTCTTTGAAATCCATTGTGCAGATTTACAGCACATCTCTGTCTGGACTATCCACATCTGAAATGTTCAAGTAGTTACCGGTGGATGGTGGCCTTTACGTTGAACAGGACAGGTCTAGCTGGGATAATGCCAGGTTATCTGGTTTCCAAAGAATGAAACATTACTCCTGATACCTTCAAGACTTAACATTCTACCATTGCATACCTTTATAAACTATAGTGTTGTTAGCAGTGTTTGACTCTGTATAGTTGAATGTAATTTTTGCTATATTCAGTACTTAAACAGTAAGTTTATAAGAAGCTGACTTAGTTGTGGTGAACATCATGTATAGTGGGCCTTGATAACATTCACAAATAGTTTCTTCTCAGTACATTCCCTAATCGGACATTTGCTTAGCACTTTCAGGATTCACAGCAATTTGAAAGATTATTTGCCGATCAGAGAATTGGGCATTCTGAACAATTGGGAGTAGGAAACTTCCAACCCACATTGAGATGATGGGGTAGATTCCTACTGATGTTGCCTTACAGTGCATATGCTCTGAACGTCTTTCATGTGGCCCTCTCTGCCTCCCAAAATGACAAGTGGGAAATACAGGAATAAGAAAAACTGAAGAAAGAAAAATAAACATAGTGACAGCCAGGGAAATTGAAGGTCACCTTATGGTCTGAAGTCCAA